CCATGTTATTGTTGTTATTATTTAATGTTTGCAGTCCTATCTCATTTTTAACTTTCAATTTTACCACATGGTGAATAGACAGAAGGGGGGGAAAAAAAAAAAAAAAAGCACCAAAAACTCTTCCTTTCCAGGAAAATCCAGTAGGAAATCAAATCAAATCAAAAATAAATGTATAAAAATCTACAATGTCACCACTGGCCAGAGATGAGGAAAAATCTCACATTGAGCCTTTATACAACATTCAGTTGGTAGCACAGAACTACAATTCTGCATTCTGCAATGGAGTTTTAAGGACACTCCTGTGTTTAATGAAAGAGCACAAAGTAAAAGCAAATCCAGAGTCACTCTGGATTTTAAGTCAGGAATTGGCAAACCCAACCTGCAAATGTTGGATTTGTTATTGGTGTGTTCTAAAGAAATTATTTAATTATCACTCATTTACTCCTCCCGTTTTTTCCATGTTTTTCTGCAGAATTTCTTACAGGAACAACCCTCTCTTCACCCCCAATGCTGGCAGCACAGATTTTTAATAATTTAATTTTTTAGAATCTCATTTATAACCTCAGCTCCAAAGTCCCATCAGGAGCACAGACCTCAATAATTGGGAATTTCTGGTTTATCTCAAAAGGAGAAGAAAAATCTCTCCCTCATTTCCTCCCCACTCCCCTGGAAGTGACTCCCACATTGTTTGCACACAGGAGCAGGTAAAAAACCTGACAGAATTTCCTTCCTGGCAACCTCATCTTGCCACAGGATAAAACTGAGCTCCAATCACTTCCAAAATACACCAAATAAAAATCCCTGCAGCTGTTGAGATTACAGGAGAATATTTGAATTCATTCTATCAAATATATTTCAAGTGAAATATCACTGTAATTAGGACAAAACTGACTTCAAGCAGCTCTAATTTGTTTATAAGATTCTAAAAATAAATGAAATCAATTTAGAAGTTTGCTGCCACGAATGCAGAATGAATTTTACAATATTTCTGTTCAAAAGGGGCTGCCTGGGGGGTTTTTACCTGGCCAAGCTCCACTTGTGGGTTTTTTTCCACCCTTTTTTTTTTTTTTTTGTTGACTCTTCTTCTCACTTTGTCCATCCCAGAGGTGGCCACAGATCCCCAAAGATTTTCCCCCCCACCCTGCACTTCCAAACCTGACACTCCTGCAGTGCTCCCATTTTCTTTCATCCTTCCTTAGAGGAAAGCAGGCAGCAGGAAGAGCTTGAGGTTTTTTTTCTTTTTTTTTTTTAACCTTTCAGGAGTCACAAATACTTACTCTGAATTTGTCAGCCTGGCCACAGCAGGTTTTCAGTCAAAGTTAAATTATTTTATTTGTTTTTTTTTTTT